CTACTGTCGTGAATGGAACAATATACAAGTTCGACCGAACGAACGATCGAACGTGAAATGTTTCTTGTACGTTTGGATCGTGTATCGTCCTCGTCTCGTTAATTGCTCGCTTGATAAACACTCGCTGAACTGAATATGTATTTGCGATCGATGATCATCTTCGGTATTATCCATATTCTTACTCGTATTATTCTTATCGTTAAATATTTAATTATTACTTCCATATAGATGCGTTTCGTGGCTGTACGTAGAAAACAAATAAGAGCACGATTATTCGCGTGGCGGACGAAAACCTTACTAATCCACTATTATACTATCGAGAAGGCGATCAAAGAAAGGTAAAATCGCGGGCGTGTTCATACGCGAACTAACGAAAGGGAAAACTTAGGGAAAGCACGGATTTGGATCTATTGGCTATTAGGCCTCTCGAAGCAAAGTATGCGTGTATAGATTATATAGGTATATCTCGGATTTCTGTCGAGCGTCGGGAAGCACGGACACCCTTCTTTTTCTTTCCGATCGCGACGAACCGTACGCGTTGCTACGCCGATCTTGTTCGTCCCAAGAGGACAGAACTTTCTCGACAACGTGCACGGAGTCTCGTTGCGAGAATTCTCGACACGATGGCGTCGGTTTCTTCTTTCTTTTTCTACAGGTCGTGTTCGTGACATTCGCCGCGTGATGGCGCGCGGATCGCGAAGGGTGACAGAAACTTGGGATTTGCTCGCGCCTGATAATCGCAACATTCTATCAACGAACTGATGTGGCGATCCAAGCGAATCAATTTAATCTGGCTAAGCGAATTAGGAATGAATGAATCTCTATAGCGCGAAGCGCCGTGGCGTTCGTCGATCCGTTCCAAGGCGCCGCGTCGCGCAGTAATTCGATACCCGATGGTCGACTTAAAGAGAAGTGTTGTAAAATTCGCGAAGCAAGGAACTGGGCTCGATTGTGGCGCGCGTCCATCGACGTCGAGCCGGAGAACGCATGCGTCACTTGGAACGAATCGACGAGCGGTCTTGGAACGTCGCGACCGTACGCGTCGCGACGCTCGCTGTTGCATTTCAATCAGTAAATATTGAGCAATGTTCCTTTCAATCTTTGCCTCTGTCCATTGAAAAATTGAGACGAATCGATATTGGTTCTCATGATTTCCTCGAAGCAACGATAACCTCCCTCTTCTTCCTTTCTTCGCACACTTCCTTCGCATTTTCGCTCGAGTTTATTCTCAATTATGTCGATCAACTGCTTTAATTCTTGTTTTACACACTTTTTTCTTTTTCTTGTTACTTTTAATTAAAGCTACCTAGAAACGTACGAACCTTTCATATCGCTAGGTTACAGGAAAAATACAGAGAGGAACGCGACCGGGATTTTCGCGCCATTATCCACTACCGGTATCTCGCGTTTCGACCAAGGTTTTTCCGGTCCTCCATCCGGTTATCGATCGTTCCTTCGCCGTGCTGCACATTGTGCGTATGTACATACCTACATGCACCAGGCGCAAGAAGGACGATGCTTTCTAGACACGATAAAATTTCTCGTCCTCGTGGATCGCGAATGTTTCGTAAGTAATCGACTTTAACGATGATTAACGCGTACTATAAAGAGCATACTTTCGTGCGTCTGCTCGGTCTATCTACCTAACTATCCGCTTAAATATTCGTTTAAATATAAACTTCTCCTTACTCCTGCTTCGTATATAGAAATATCTCGCTCCTCCCTCCTAGATATAGTAAATATACTCGTATGTATGTGTAATACTTTGACGACCGCGTTTGCGATTGGGCCGAGGCTTATCCGTAGTCACGAGTCGAAAATGCGGAGGAAACACGACGATTCGTGGTCGTTGACGTGGAATCTGTAACTTATGCTCATCTTCTTTATTTTTTCTTTTTGGCACAATCGTTACGAAAGATTGTTCGAGTAGTCTCGATCTCTTGGATTGAAATTCGATCTCCGGCACAAAATACGTTGGGAAACATTAATTTCTGTTATTCGAAAGGACTGCGACATCTCAAACCTAACCCTTCTCTTTTCCAAGATGGCTTCTAGTTGCTGCGTGGGTGAAATGTTAGATGGCGTTGATACGACTTCAACCCTTCGCGGTATTAAAATAATACTTTATTAAATTTTAGGAAATCTATTCCAAATATGCTCTGTTTTATTATGAAAGCAATATCGGGTCATTGTTGATACGAGTTTTCGTTCACCAGAAGATGTGTTACGTTTATTCGTTTCTCATACGTCAAAAGGTTAAGGTAAGACGAATAAGGTAACATGTTAAGGTCGTTTTTAATTTTTCAACGCTAAATAAATAAACTTGTGTGAAAAATTATGGAAATATCCGCGTGATCGGCGACAGAGTGATTTTATAAACGTTGCCCAGCGTTTCAGCCGCGCGACAATTAGAAGCTTGTTTGAGAAGAAAAGAGGATACAATTTCAGTGTGCCGTGTTCTCATCAAACGGCAGAAATTATTGCCTCCTAATGTACGCGCCTCGTTTTCTTATTTGTAATGTAAATTTCCCATACACGCAGACATTTATGGTTTACATTCGAGTTTGGTTGATCGCCTTTCACGCTGGCCCTTTTCATTAGAAAGACGGTTGATCAAACCTGCGTGGATAAAATCTCCAGTAAATCACGAGCGTGTACGGGGCCGCTTAAAATCGAAACTGTGTGTGAGACGCTCGCGTCTCAACCGAGACGTCTCTATTACGCGTTTGGATCGCAGTTTTTCGTTACGATTATTAATACTATATCCGTTAATTACGATAATCGATATTATAAATTACGTGTGACTCGCTAAGTTCTCTACGCTGTAAACTCTACTTTCCGATCGAGGCGACACCGATGGCCGTCAATCCGAACCATCGATCCTCCACGGTAGCAACAACCGTCTCTCGCGTCCATTGTTGGCTCACAGATTCTGTTAATACTGATACGCGTTTCACGGTCGTTGATTCGTTCCTCGTTTCGGCGATAAAGACTCCCAGCCGCTTCGTAGTGGTCAGTGATACGCACCAACGCCATCACTTTCCGGCTCCAGTCGCTGGTCACGGTGCATTTTGGTCTGGATCAGGTATAAATAACATATCCCTCCTGTTTCTCGACGGAAAGATCGTGGACCGTTTGAAATTGAGCGCGTTAACTCGCGAGCACGACTTCGGCAGCCACGCTGACGCTGTGGCCAATCAGGGACCGGCTTCTCGGTCACAGAATATCCGTTTCGTAGATCTTGCTAGTTGTCGTGGTGGTCGCGTTCGCGATTGGCGTCACTGTTGAGACGGTCGTGGAGCTGGGGCAACCTGCGTTCACGATGGACGACGGTTGACCGTTCGATTCGCTCAAAGGAGTCTGATTTACGGTCTGAGCGGTGGTCACCGCACTGGACGTCGAGTTGACGACGATCTTGCCGGCCGTGGTCTCGATTTGCTGCTGGTGATCGTTGGCATCTTCCTGTCGCGGCTGATGACCGTCCACGGACGTCTCGTGCGAGGCAGCTAGCTTCGCGGTCAGGCTGGTAAGAGATCCGGAGCTGGCGGCGCTCAGACCGAGGCCCATCTTGGCCAGCAGGTTGCTCTCGGAGCCTGTTTTCTTCAGAAGGTCCGGCGGCGCCGGCGGTACGGTGGTCAGACCCGCCGTGTTTCGTTGCAGCTGTTGGAGCCGCGCGTACTGTTCCTGCAGAGCCTTCTGCTTGCGCAACAGCTCCTGGTGCCGTTGCTCCAGCTGCTCCTGCCTGCCCTTCTTGCTCTGCAGGCCTTCCTGCGAGTTGACGCTCTCGCAGGAGCTGGAATTGCTGGCGGACAGGATGATCGACGACTGGGAGGACGAGGAGTTATGGAGCACCGTGGTCACCGTCGATTGCTCCAAGGCAGGCACCACCGCGTTGGTGGCGTCCACCGGAAGGGCCATCGGTGGCTTGCCCTCCTTCACCGGCAAGTTGGAGCGCGCTGGTGGCCTGCGTAGCGTCGAATTACCGCTCTGCAAGTTGCAAGAATGATTCCTGGGCGGCAGCTGGGGGCTCGTGGGGCTGGCCAACGGGGATCTGGAGCTGGTGCGGGGCGGCGGAGGTGGCGGGACTCTTCTCGCGCTGGCTAGTTGCAACAGTTCCGCGTTCCTCTCGGGCACCGGCGGCTTCTGACCCGGCACGAACCCTTGCGGTAGCACCGGCAAGCTCGGTTGCTCCTGCAGCGACACCTGCAGTCTCGCTATGGGTGGCGAGGTGTCCGTGTCCGAGCTAGACGGATAAGAATGCAACCTGCGGAGCGTTCCACCCGCGTTCTGTGCTCCTACCGCGACCGCAGCGCCACTCAACATTCCACTCGACGAGTCCACGCTGCCTTTCCTTCCTATGTCGGAGATGCACGGGGCTCGACCCGACGTACCGGTGGCGGGCGGTACTACGCCGGCCTCTCTGCTTCCCGATCTGCCCAGGTCGGAGAGGATCGTCGACGAACCGGGGACGTGACCGAGCTGCGAGCTCGGCCTCGAGAAGGTCTGCAACTCGTCTAGCAGAGCGTCGAGTGCGTTCTCCGGACGCTGCTGATGGGCGGCGGGTGGTTCGTGAGGGTGGGACCCTCCCCCGATGATGCTCGCTGACCCCACGACAGTGCGTTCCGCTGGCACAGAGGCAGCTGCCTGCGTTCGACACGTTTACGTTTCCGGTTACCAAGCTTATCCATCGTACGAACGCGACCTGGTACGCGTGGTTACCTCTCGCCCCTGGGACGCGTCGCCGGACAAGTCTCTGCCCGAGTTTGCCCGCCGTCGCGTCCTCGGAGCATCGACTGCTCGTCAGAAGTTCGATCGCGTTAACGAAGTGGTTAAAAGTACAAAAGTATCTGTGCGCGTTTGAAACGATATCGCTTCTGACGAAGTCTTGGAGCACGTCGTCAAGAACGGTGCGTCACGTGCAAATCTCTTTCCATTTGTTTTGTCTGTCGTTACAAAAGTGGACTACGGTTTCGAAATGTTCAGGAACCGGGACGCACCGTCGTCGAGCGACGGCTGGTCGCGAAATACGATCGTTCGCTTATCGTCTACGTCATGCTGATAATAATAAAATGTGCGCGATGTGTTCGCATGCAAGATGCCAGTGAAACAACATGGTGAGCGGCTGATTGGGGGGTGGGGTGGGGGTTTGGGTTTGGTGGTGGTGGGGTTACAAGAGCGTGAGAGTGAGAGAAAAAAAAACGTGAAAAAGAGGCGAGAAAAGAGGGCCGAATGAAGAAGCAAATCGATCGAACGATGCGAGTCGATTAATTGTGAGTCGTGATGCGCGGAGAAACAGACGAATCAATGACGTTTTTTTATATACGTATGTAATTACTTCCGTTAGATAGTTACCTGCGGTCGGGTGTTATAGCGTTTTGTGTGTGCGTTGTGCGTGTTACAAGTCAGTACTCGTTTGGGGCTCTTTTACGTTTGGCATCGACTGTTGTCCAGTATTAGTCAACTTAAAAAAAGAAACAGAGAAACCAAAAATCAAAAATCCAAAATCAAGAGATTGCGCCGTTCGACCGCTATCGCCGGTGTCGGTTGTTCGCGTTCACGCGAACGGGCCCTAAAACGGGGGACGGAACGCGGACGACGACGCTGCTCTGGTGATCGTTGACGACGCCCGGCGTCGCGTAGTCGCGTTTACGGCCCTCGCGCGATTTTCTATCATCCATGTTCAATTTCAAGAAAAGAAAATTGTACGCGTCGCGGGGCATCGACGAAACCGAACTTTGAGATAAGGGGTTCGCTGCCATCGTCATCGTCGTCGTCGTCGTCGTTGCTGTCCTAAGTTCCCGATTCCCGTCGATACCCGAAACATCGACACCGGTCTTTTTTCGGTAGAAACAAGGCTTGAAAACGGGCATGCAATGGCTAAACGCTAAGTCGAACGTGCACGGCAAACTTACATAACCTATACGCATGTACAGTATACGTGTTTACGTAGGTACATACATATACATGCTGCATGCTTCGTATACGTACTATCAACGATGGGACTGACACTACCACGATACTATATTTACGATATTTAAGCAATTCGATAGGAAAGTACTCGACCAGATAGTATTCGAACGTATCGAAACCTCAACAAGCTCATACAAGGTCGAGGTTTGGGAACAATTTTAATGGAAGATTCTAGGGGGCAAAATAAGACGAAAATCAAGAATACCAACTTGTTGATTGAGGCTTCGTTAAAATGTTATTAACGTTTAAAGTTCTCTGGGAAATTGTCACCCACGTATCTCCAGGCTCCAGGAAGGGGACTCAGGAACTGTTTATTGAAAATAAATGGAACGCAAGGACACGTCTGCACGCCCTAAAGCTTGAACAAGGCTCGCCACGGCAACATGGCCGCTTTCCCTACTCTCGCAGCTAGAGTGTAGAAGCGCCATCTGTGAACAGCTGCGCGCATTCGATAGTGGTTCTCACTCAGCGCGAGGAACTCTACTCACTGACGTATCGACAGCTTTACAGTTTTGTGAGGAGGCGGAACTTTAAACGTTAATAACTTTTTAACGAAGCCTTGATCAACAAATTGGTATTCTTGATTTTCGTCTTATTTTGCCCTCTAGAATCGTCCATTAAAATTTTTCCCAAAACCTCGACCATATATACAGATCATTGCAGGTATACTGGTTTCAAGAAAACTTATTCATACTGTTACAATTGCACTGGATATATTGCCAATCAATTCGTGCATCCAGGAATGTTCTATCGGAAGCGTGCTTGCAGATTTGTAATAGTATGGAGAAGCTTTTTTTCTGAAGCCATTGTATCAATTTTCGTTACCGATTTTTTTGTATTTAATATCGATCGAAATGTACCAAAACTGAAAATGAGAATTCTAATCTTTACCAAATAAGTCGTGCTTCGGATAATTATAAGATCCAATCGATAAATGTAATTGCTTGAAGTTATGATCTGTTTTGCATATAACAGAAGACTTTGATTCTTATATCGAGAACTCTTACGACAGTACGGGTACTTGGTTCAGAATTTGAAATTGATACTGTTGTCAGGCGATACGTATCGGTACTTTCGTGCATACGTAAAAGCAGTTTTGTATAAAATAATACTTGGTCATTTGCTATCGACAGTATCTATACGGTGTAAGTCTCATCGCTACATACAGTACGCACACGTTTCTTTACGTATATACACGGAAGAAAAAAACATGCTCGAGTATAGGCGACTTATTATCGTCGAAAACAAAAAGAGGTACATATATATGGATAAGTGGCCAATCAAAGGTTCACAGTCAAAACCTCCGGTCCAATCCTTATAGTAAGGCAGTATATTTACGACGGACTTGAGAGTCAGACAGACGCGTGTATAGCTTGACAACTTAGAAAAAATTTTCGAGGAAGTGGCCGAATGCGATGGGATGAATGGCGGGTACGAATAACGCAGTATTGTGTGTGATTTCTCTACGAAGTACTTTTTCTTCCAGCTCGAACAGTTTTAAAGACATTGAACGTTAACAATTTTAAATTTTAACCGTTAACGTGTCCAAAACTCTTTGAAGCAGAAGATCCTTTGACTGCCAAAGTACTCACAACTGATTTTCGACCGATTTGTGTACTTCGTTTGGCTGGAGATAGAACAATGTTTCAGAAGACAAAGTTGAATGGTAGAAGATATATTCTCATACGATTTTTCGTTGAGACGTATACTTTATTAAAGAATTTAAAACAATGTAAAACTGTGTAGAAATATAGATCTTGTACCAGTCAACTTTGTTTCTACCTCCAGTCAAAGAAGAGCACGGCATACTGTATATACATCTAGTAAATTTCGTTCGCGTATGACAATTATTAATAATGAAAATTAATTAATTAAAACGTTATATTATTTTTAATAAAGTGATAGTATAGTTTCGTTTCAGCGACTCGTGACTATCGTTTCGAAGGGCAGTCAAAGGATTGCCATTTGGCGCCAATTCCTTAATCTCACCTCCAGATTATGTGCATTAAAAAAAAATAGAAAAGAAATTGGTGGAATTCGAACTAAAACAACGTGTGAAATCCTATCGTTAAGAATGAGAGATCGAGTCTACGTGGATGCGTGGGCGGGACCAGCGTTCCCCCACCGCAGGGATCTTTTCTAAGTTGTCGAGCAATACGTACGCGCGTGTATATACACGGTATACAGACAGAGAGTACAGACAGACAGAAAAGATAGACACAGAGTGTGAGAGACAGAAAGACAGGAAGGAAGAGAAACAGAGAAAGGAGCGTGTGTATACAAACATGTGTATCGTACAAAGTACCGGAAGGACGCGTCGAATCGATCCGTGGCCGCCCCGACGGGATGCGGATGAGCGAACCGAAAATTTCAAGACGTTCACGTGGAAGCAAGGGGTGGGTGTAACAACAGTTTCCGAGCCAATTCCACAAGGATCGAAAACAATGCGACGACTCGAAATGTCGGGGTGGATAAGAAAAAAAAAAAAAAAAACGAAGGGTAAAAATTACGTGGGTGGCGACGATTGAGCAACGCGCGTGCCAAGCACAGTGGGGGACATTCTGAGTATGGGCTGACGAAATTCTACAAATTCGGAGTTACCTCCGAACGTTCGAATTAAAAAAAAAGAAAAGAAAAATAGAAATCCTGCGTGTGAAACATTGCAACCGATTTCCGTCGCACGTGCACGCAAATGTATACGCGTCACGGTTCCAGAAATTAAAGAGACTATGATTCTCGCGCGAAAACAGAGAAACGACACGATTTCTTTGATAGGAACTGTAGACATAACGGTTTGTTCGGGTAGCAATATTGCAACCGTGGATCTTTGTCAGTTTTCCATAAATTTGATTCTTTTCAACAATTTCGGACCATATACGATAGCTAGGCTGAGAGTTTCCTCTTCCAGGAATCTGTTAACCCTTAAGTGGACTAAATAATTGTTCAACGTACGCCAATGTAATTGAAATTTTATGCAATCCTTAGTTCATTATTTTTTAAATGCTTTAAAGAAAAGTTGATTTCCATTAAGTAATAATTCAGTTGAGATTGAGAGTCCACTTAAGGGTTAAAGTTGTTGGATAAAGCTTCGAGTTGTAACTATAGTCGTGTAGCTGATAGACTGCAGTTTGGAATTACTGCTCGTGCAAACTGTTGCAGGAAAAACCGTTACGTCTGTGGTTTCCGTGAGACTGGCTTATGAAAAAAAATCGTCCGCGATGGTACGGATGCACGAGTGTTGTTAGCGAAGAAGCAATCTGCTGTTTTTAAGCACGCGACGTGCAGAGGCTTCCGGGTGTAAATCGTCTCCTTTCAAGCAAGTATTCAGCTTCTTCGGGAGTCGAACGACATAGGTCAGAGTGTCATTTGATTCCTGTAGAACAGCATCAACTTACAGAAACTTAGTGAAAGCCTCGAACAACTTATTATTATGCGGAACAATGCGTTGCAAGATGATGGCAATGTTTTTACTCGTCTACTATAGAGAGGAAGAAAGTTTTATAAGGTTTTGGGACCGTACAAAAATTGCTCGAAGTCCACTTTTACTTTTACTTGTTCTATTCCTTCCTACCTAGGAAGTTTCTTTCTTTCTTTCTCTCGACAGTAGCTTCTTCGTTAGGAACGTTCGTGCGCCCGCATTAATTTGGAGAAGTTTCTTCGGAAGCCAGTGCACGATCAATCGAGAAATCATATTGAGCGAAAGACACAATCCTCGTCGTTGGACCGTTTTCTCAACTCGGAGGAGCGCTGCAGCCCGTTGTCCCAGTTTCCAGACTCAAACTTCTATACTTCGTTCAACAAGATGGGACGCTTGGAATTAGGCGAAACCGCGCAACTACGAAAGCAGATATTTGTATACGGATGTACAGTTACACCCGCTGTAATGGCGATTCACAACGAAAAGAAACTCGAAAGGTTTGTATTCGAACAAATTAAAAAAGTAAAAAAAAAACTGCTTTGTATATAGAAGGAAGTAACAGTGTAACGAAACAACGTTTGGCAAAAATAAATGTAAAGACCTCGATGAACGAATTTCTTTTCGCTTATAGCGAATCACCATTACAGCTTACGTGCACGAGCAGCTGTGGATTTTATTCGATCGAACGTCCAGATCCGCCGAGCGAAGTATAGATCGTGACGCGAACAGTGATTCGATCGATCGATCGCGCGTGTCATCCGGAGATTCACGGTTTAATCTCTCCCCGTAGATCCCGTATGGTGACGGCAATGGTTGAGGGTCTAGGATTCAGGGGGGTGGTGAGCTGTTGCGCTATCGACGACGATCGCGTGCAATTTCGTCGCCGTGGCCGTGAATCTTAAAGTCTCGGGGTGGGAAATCCAATGTAAACCTTGTGTATCGAGAACAGACGGGGTTTTTTTTTGTTGGGGTGCTGCACCTTACTATAAGAAATTGGATTGGAACGAGTGTGTCTGACGAGGCGAGATCGCAAGCTACTTTCTTTCCTTCCGTTCGTTTACGCGGTTCTCGGATTAAGGCCGCGAGACGCTCCAGCCCGCGGCCCTAATTACTTTCGTCGTTCGCAGAAAACGAATTGTTATCCTTTGCCCCGCGAACGAGACGTTCGTCGTCGGAATCGGGGCCGACGGATCAAACAAAACTATCGCAAGTCGCAAAAATTGTATGCATCTAGAGAGAGATAGAGAAAGAGGATAAAAACTCTGCAAAGTACAAGTACAGTGAGTAAGGAAGTTTGCGAGAAGGCCAAGTGAGAGCGCGTAGCCGCGTAGCACAGAGCGGAGGATGTTTTGCGCGCTTTCGTCAAACCTTTTTTTCTTTTCTTTTGTTCGTGACAAGTTTTCGTGCGTCTTTTTTTTTTTTTTTTTTGGTCGTAAACGTGTGTCGGATACATCTCAGAAGCGCTGGGAGAGTAGCGGGACAAACGATCAAGCTCTAGGTGGCCGGTAAAATGCAAAACAACGTAAGACAACGCGGCACAAAAGTTTCGTTCGTTGTGGTAGGTTGCTTGTTTACGCGTTGAACGCGTTTCTTCGTTCGGCTGTTTTCCGTGCGACGAGTCCCGAGGCGATCATTGGAAATGCAATTCGCCCGCCGTCGAGAGAAATTATTCTGATCGGTGTGTCTTTCTTATATGGACTTTGCAACGGAAATGAAAATCGAACTCGGGAAACAAGCACGCGTCGAGAGTACGGTGATATACAGGTAGAGTGTGTCAAAAGTTGTCAACGACAGCAGGACTCCTCGCTGCGAGTCCCTCGAAGGATTCCGTCAAACGTTTCGCGATGTATTTGGCGCGTACTTTTTCGTTTTTTTTTCGAAAATTGGCGGAATGCTTCGAGGATCGCGAGGGACAAACAGACGTAAACAGTATTACGATTTGTGCGGTAGACATCATACCGATAAAAAAAAGGAATATATATATATATATGTACATGTATATATATATATAAACATATGTATGCGTGTAGATGTGTACGTGTGATACGATGGGCGCATGGGTGAATATATATAGATATATATAGTATATAAAATAGTACAGAATAATAATAATAATAATAATGGTAATGATAATAAGTAGAAATATTAATAATAATAATAGTAATTAATAATTTATAAATATGAATCATTAAAAAATTACTCGTGACTGGTCTGTATGGCCTCCTTGAAGTTAGTACTCCACTTCCAGCCATACTAGAAAATTAATATCATTTTCACTACTCTGTAGCCTGTAACCTGCGTTTATAGATTTCATTATAAAAAGGAAACAATTTAGAGAGACAAATATAGAGAGAGACAGAGAGAGATAAATATATATATATTTCTCGAATTTGACAAGTTCGACGATTGATTTGACAGAGCTTTATTTTTTTCTTTTTTTTTTTTCTGCGTGACCCGCGCACAGGATAGAGGAGAGCGACTCCGGAGCAATCGTTAGAATCGGAAACAAGACCTCTCGCTTCGCTCGTATCATCGAAATCAAGAGAGACAGAGAGGCGAGAGACTCTCTCTCGCGAACAAGCATAAAAAGGGAACAAAAAAAAACTGGCTCGTCAACGATCTCTCGTCGCGACGCAGATTGTCGTTTTTAATCCTTAAGTCACAGCTAACACTGAGAATGGTATGACAAAAAACATGGTCGCCGACACTCGCGATCCGCCGTCCTCCCCATTCCGAGCGTCGACGACCGTTGGTCCGGTTTTGTCACACCATACACGCTAAATGTATAAAAAATATCTATACTATCGGGACACAGCAAACACTGAAAATATTGGTTGTGGGGGTTGATCAGGGTGGAGGGGTCCATGTCACACAGAGACACATGTTGGAGGAAAGTATTCGCGACGCCGACACCATTTCGCTGGACGCGGTTCGTCTAAGAAACGCGTCCAAGTCGCTTTTCTTTTCCTACATCTCTTTATTTTTGCTTTCGTTTTCACAATCTTCCTTTCGTTCCGGAGAAGGGAGAGTCAAAGAGTCGCGCAAGTCGAACGAGGCCTCGTATCGTCCCCACCCCCCCCCCAGTTCCATTTTTTTTTTTTTTTTTGGCAACAAAACAAGCAAGATTGCGACAAATTTCGAGGGACGGGAGCCCGCTTTCGAAACGAGTCACGCACCTGCGCTCCCGTAAGAGCTGGTCGTCTCGTGTCGAGGAAAGGTTTACATTAGATTTCGTGTACCGAGGAACGATAAGGATCGTGACTCGGAGAGCGCCGACCAAGGGTCAAGAACGTGGCTGTATCGTCGATCGATATGGATCCGACTGCCAAGAGAAGCTAACCTCCGAAACGCAGAGAACGTGTACGGCCCGCGAGGCTGGGAAATTTTGAAAGTTTCGAACAACGGGGTGTATATAGGATGCCGTTTGTGCCAATTGCAAGGACGAAAGAAACGATTCGATTACTACGGACGCGCCCGGTAAGCCTTTAACGCGCGAAACACGAGCAATTTTGAAATTGAACAGCGCAATGCCGGGTGTCTGCTCGAGAGTAACATTTTCAAGCGGACGTCTGGTACGAGGCTAGGAAGATACTGTTTGACTTTTCGTCGCTCTGAGTTTGATCGAGATGGCAAAAGGCACAAGCCTATAGAAGAGTATGCTTTTTATCGGCTCGAGCAAACTGTCGAGGGACGAAAACTCTAATAGTATCGCGCGTGCGCGAGAAGTTGGCTAGCAGGAGGGCACAGGTGGCAGCAGAGTCGCTTGCTCCGCCCATTCCCCTCCATTTTCGTTGTCTCGGCCAATGGCGACGTTCCTTTCGCGATCCTTTCGTCAGCCAACTTCTCGCGCACGAACAGTACGTTCCTAGCTCAAATCGGTATTTTCGACGTCGTGTAACCGTTCACCTCGGCGCGAATAAACCACGAGTGCACGCACGGACACACGTATGTATATACAGTACGCATACAGAGTATACGAGTACGTGTACACGAATACAAAAAGGTTAAGTATATGTTATATAGTAGACAAAATTCTATATCACTCGTTGCATGCGCTCTTTAGCATAATAGGATACGGGGTAAGCGGTGGTCGGACTTGATACACGTCACTGCAAAATACCACACATCGTTTTACTCGGTTAGGCCAAGAGAGATCTACAAAGCGTGGATTGGTGTCTTCGACGTTGTCTACTTCGCCGAGGGGACAGCAGAGCTTTCGCTGCCCCGTGGTTCGCGTGGGAAACGAAACGACGGAGACACGGCGACTATTTCGAGAGACTCGCGTTCGCGCTATGGCAAAGATGGGCTAAATTTTCATCGAACAACAGATTAACGAGAACACGTGGAAAACGACGACTCTTAAGGCGGAGCAAGCAATTATTCATCGTTAAGTCGATTAAAAATGATCGTTATACTTGGAGAATTTGGCAAGTACTAAAGTATATTTAACTTTGTTAAAATAAAAATACAACACCAGCGATCAATCGTTATTTATCCAGTTAAGAATTTTACCCATCTGTGCGTCGTAGACTTTCGATTCGAACGATCTACCGTTCCCGCGTAAAGAATACCGATATACGCGATTATCGTCGAAGGACAATTTTTAAACGAGGTGCGACCTTTAATTTTCCGCAAATCGAATATTTCTCTTTTATTTATTTTTTTTTTGTTTCTTCCTTCACGGAAGGGACAGAGATTTTCAAAGCGCGACAAATGGGAGAGGGATCGTTCTGGGTTACGATCTGGAGGTGTTTCATGCATCGGGCAAGTACTTTTGGAGCGGAAGTAGCTGAGGAAGTACTCGGGGAGGGGGGAGAGATGGGGGATCAGTTGAATCGGACGTCGAGTGAGGAGGAGAACGGACAAATAAATAAATAGACAGACAGATAGATAGATAAGATAGATGGATAGACGAGAGAAATAGTGAGAAACTGAAAGGGGAGGAAAAAAAGAGAAGACAGCGAGCGAGTGAGCGAGCGAGCGAGCGGGGCAAATGAAGCGTTACCTTGGAATGTTGGGCTGACGTGGGTGTTATAGGCGGTGTCTCGTCGGCGTCTACGCTCGTCGCGTTTGGTAATCGCTGCTCTTGCACCGACGCCAAGCTGTGAAACATACAAAACAACGTTCCTCCTTTAAACACGAAATTCGTCGTTTTTTTGCTGGAGAACGTCGATGAGATCAAATGCAACCGTACCTTGGTTCGAATCGAATCCTGCGTGAAGTAGTCGCGAGGAATATTTCGTAATTTATTAGCCAATTAAAGCAACAGCATACGCAACGTTGTCAATTTCGTTGCTTCTAATCTATTCACGAATACAATTTTTACACATTTATTTTGCAGACATTCTATGGAAACATGTATTTCTCGCGTAAAAATGTTAATTTATCGAAGCAACGTGTGAACTGGCGTGTCTCATTTTTTAATTACTATTTTAGATGTTGAGTTACGCGTTTCATTTTAGAAATACACATTGTACAACATTTTCCACTTCGATTTCAATAACTTTGTTCTATGTGCGTTCCCTTGGTAATTTCATTCTTTTCGTACAGCTTTCAGTTTTATTTTGGTATTGGTGCTGTTGTCATTCTTGGGTTACGAAGTCTTTTAGAAGGTATATAATTCGTAATAGTAAAGGATGAAGAATAACTCTTTAGCCTTTATAAGTATCTATATTTAAATTTCATTTGTAACGATAAAAAATATTAAAAAATATATTTAAAGTTTGAGTAGTTCTTAGCTGATGAATATTAATGTTTGTTTTTTCCACGTAAAATCACCACCTTCACAGTTGTACAATGATTACTACGACACCCTTGTACAATGTCGACGCAGACAAAATCGAACGAGGATCGAAACTGATGAGGTTTCGAGTAGAATTGCAAATGTGCATGTCTTGTGAGCATGAATAATGATTGCTTGAGCGATATGTTTCTTGAGTGCTAGAAGGGATCAAACTTTACGTACCGTTTGAGCGTCACGAGAGTACCGGTAAGCTTTTTGCAACGTCTCAACGCGGACTCCAATCGTTCGGGTTCCTCCTTGAGGAACTTCTCCTCGCGCACCACCTTCTCCATCTCCGAGCTCAGCAACCCCTTCATGCCCTCCTGGAGACTCGGAAACCGTACCTTCAGATCCGCCACTGTTTTGCTGGAAGAAAAGAAGAAAATGGCGCACGGCCATGTTCAAGACAGGTTCATTCGATCCCTCGGAGGACCGCGGGAGGATCTGCACCCCCTTTGCTCACCTCGATTTGCTCAATATCAAGGCCATACTCTCCACATCCGACATATTGACTCTCGTTTTCCTGTTGATGACGTTGCCACGGAGTTCCTCCACCGTGCTCTCTAGCTCGCTGAAATTGTTGAAATTCGCGTGTAAAAATTTCGTGAATAGATACTGCGAAAGTGTATACACGACGCGAGGACTACAGCCCGAAGAATCACGTTTGTCAAATGAAAATGACCAGTAGATGATTATTACGAGGTTACTTAATTCAGTTTAGGCTGATATGCTTCTATAAGGATTTTAATAAATATAGTGTTAGGTGTATCAGGTTGAGAAAATTCTAGAAGAATTCATTTGATTGATCTTTAGAGATATAGACAATAAGATGGAAGTTTTAGGAAACTACTGAGCAAAAACCAAGAAAATTTGGAAAAAAAAATTCATTTGTCAAAGTATGAAACCTACGTCAGATCTTTTTCCAGCCTTAACATCTCTTGCTTGTAGAGGTCTTCCTCGCGGCTCAGTCGAATTTTCTCCGCATCTCCGCCAGTCCAGGCTGCGTCTCCACCAGACAGCAACATGGCTCTGTAACGCATCGCCATTAGAGTATACAACAAATCGATTATGATAGCGATTCCCAAACTGTACGTCACGGAATAGTTCACATTTTCAAGATAAATATTAATAAATTTTTTTAACACATTGACGGCCATTGTCACGCGTACGTGACTTCACGAATACGTTATCCTACTCTTTCAATTTAAAGTGTCGTAAAATGTCTAGTTTTTAATATTTTTTGATCATTCTAATAACCATGTCCATACTGAATAACATGCTTTTTGGGTTTTCTATTTTTGACAACCAAATCCATGGAAGCACCTTTACTAAGGCTATCGTAACTTCTAAAATATCGAATATTTTTATACGAAAAAAATTGTGGATATTCTTCAAATATACACGTTGAAACTGAACACAAAAATATTTCACTGTTTGCTCTAAAAAATTCCAAAGAAAAAATTGTGTTCTACAGTATGCTCCGTTAATGGCGTCACAGATCGAAGAGAGTTTGGGAAATCTTTTTAGACTCGAGATGCTATTTCCGGCGCACCTGATCGTGATGAACGTGTCCCGGATGGTCTCGCGCACCGTGTGCGCCTGGGCCTGAGACATGCGCCTCAGATTTCTCACTTCCTGTCTGAGATCCTTCGCCTTCTTCTGCAGACATCGCAGCTGATTGTACATTTCTGGCGTCAGAGCCAGGTCTCTGTAGACGTACTGACCCGCAACCAGCGCCGCCGGTTTCGGCGGTGGAGTCGGCTTGTGCCTGTCTCTCTCTGAAAATATTCGACGGAGTTCAAACGACCAGCGTCCATTTTTCTCATGCACATTCTGCCCACATGTACGGTTAAAAAGCATTGGGACTTCCGCCCGTTGATCCGTTTATCGTAAAAAACAGTCTGATACTCGTCTCCTTGCTACGCAGAGTGAGGCATCTAACGTGCCCCAACTTCGATACCTCGTAAATTATGCGTTACCCAGAGAATTATGTATAAAAATTCTTGGTAATTATTTACTTTATGGTCTTCAACTCCGATTTTGATGATTTCGAAATATGTTATAGAAGATAAGATTCTGAAAAACTTTTTCCGAGATTTGAGGTCCCCTGAAGTAAATAATTGCCAAATTTTTATTAACGTTGCGTACAAAAAGTGACTCGGAACAGAGGGGCGGGGGTTAGGTTATTAATCGGACGATTCGAGATCGTCGCGGTTCGTTGACAACGCAAACTCCGTATCCCCGAACGTATCGTGGACAACGACTCAATTAAGGACTCGAAAGGTTGGTGTCGTCCGGCCGAATCCGGTGGCTGACGCCACTCGTTACTATCTAGTTTAATGCGACGCCTTTCGCACGATCAAAGGGCGAGGGTGTATGCGCGCGAGAGGTCGCAGGGGCGAGGAGCAAGTGTAATTTCGCTGTCAGTTTTTATCATTTTATTGGCTCGATGATGAGGTCGCGGCAGGAAGAAAGACGATGAACGAAACGGATGAACGGGCAGATGAATGCGAGCGTCGTTGAACGACAACGATCATGCGTCTGTGGTTTCGAACGGATTGTTTTTTACCTCCGAGTTATCCTTTGTCCCAGAGAAATCTTCGTTCATGGCACTTGTGCACACGCATACAAACAGCGGGATCGCGTCGAGGGAAGCGTCGAAATATGTCGGACGAGGTTTCGTAACGTAGACACGAGCTACTCGGAATTCTGTTCGTGTAACACGCCATTTTTACGTAATTTTATGTAACGACGGTTCGCGCGTTCCTCGACGCGATCGCGGTTTCCCAAGACCGTGTAAGGTTGGCGCATTCGAGTGCTTCGGGGATGGTTAAAAGGTGCCGTTACGAACAATTAGAAACAAAACGGACGACGGTTATACACAGTAACTGTACGTGAACGCAATCGCGGACCAAAAACCGAACGAAACAAATGGAGGGGAACCGGGTGTTGGACGACAGACAGGATTAACCGATGCAATTACAAATAATAGATCGAGGGGGTGGAGGAGGGTGGCGACGCGACACAAAATGGTACAAAGAAGCGTAAAAACACGAGGCAGTTTTACCTTGCGAAGACATCCTCGGCAACGTGGAGGATTTGATCGCCGGTTTCGTTGGTTTTGTGTCCGCTGGTCGTGGAAAGCATTGCACGGAGAAGTCGTTAGAGATTATTGCGTTAGTGTAAGACCATTCCGACGAGGTGTTTTTATCGCTCGTTAGGCTTCAAATACGTCTCGTCGAAAAAACGGTGGAGCCGACGGTCTCGGTTTACGAGATCGTTGCCAATCAACTTCCAGTTACCGATGCAAAGTTATTGCTCGTAATTTGGTTGCACGATTGCCGGGCAAACCGGCGGTTAAAATTAAGAACGTCGTTCGACCGGAACGACTGGACGCGTAATCTCGATGATAATTTTCCGCTGGAAATTGCCGTTCGGAAGCGATACAGTAATGATTCTTAAAATGAACGTCATCTTTCTTAAATGCTGTCTTTTGCACTTCACTGGCTCCAAAGGAGGATGAATAGAAACGTTCAATTTACGAATCACTGGTGCTCATTCTACGAATCATTATTGTACGGGTCGATCGAATCGACGAGAGCTAGGAGAGGCAACGAACGCGCTCCATCGTTCTTCTTTTATTTTCTTTTCTTTTTTTTTCGTACGATTTCTAATGGCACAAGGTAGTTCAATTCTCTCCGAAAGGAGCGTGCTTGGCATCGTCGTAGATTGTCAATGTGCATGAGAATCGTTACCTGTGTGCTGCGGCGAGTGCTGTTTAGGAGAGTTCATGTCCGGCGGCTCGTCGCTGAAGGACACTGATTTTTCGAACGACACCGACTTGTCTGTAATAAACGTTGATCAGCGTATTTTTGTGATCCGGTGCCGCTTAGGGGTTTTCGTGAAGCATAGAGAGCGTGCGCGCGCGGACAAAGTTTCCAAAAAATTAAAACGGAAGGTGCTAAACGTCCAGGCTCGATCGGTGCGCGAAGATGCACCGAGCTGTGTGCAGAACGAAAGATCCAGCAAGTAAAGGTGGCGACGAAAATAGAGACAGAGATAGAGAGATAGTGAAAGAGAGAGAGTGAAAAAAAAAGAAAAGAAAAGGAAAGAGAAAAGACGAGATATGTTTCTCCGTACAAACGGCAGAATCAATTTTTGGTTAAATTGCATTGAGTCGTCGGGGGATGGGTGGGGGGATGTCGAGCGGTAGAAAAGAAAAAAAAATCGTCGAAAGCGTTCGACCGATGCTGAAACGGATAAAAGCGTCGAAAGTAACGGGATCGACGCCGGCCAAGTGCTGTTAGAAGATGCGCGTATTCTGTGCAAGTAAGATGCAAAAATTAAATAGGCAAAGTAGACGGGGAGAAGGGGCTGGGGCTAGAGAGGTGGTGGGAAGGAGAGAAAAAATAAGCGAGACGAGAGACAGAGAAACGAGGGAAGAATGGGGGAGCTGCGTGCAGTGCGGACAACAATGGCCACAATAATGTCTAACTAATGCAAAGAGGCGGCGGCGATACGCTGGTGTACGTGTAAAGGAAATACGTGTATATCTTGTGAACCGCACCTTTGCCTAATTTTGGTGGTTTTACGTCAGTCCTTAAGTACGAGTCATCTGTAACGGCAGGTTGAGACACTTAAATTTTACAAAGGAGAGCCGTTTTAATCACAGTGGTAAAACGTAGGGCACTATTATAAAATGTTATGCATAAAAGTAGTAATGGTATGTACTATATATAAGTATAATTAGTGTTACTGAGCGGTCAACGGTGATACCTCCGCGCGGGAATAAATCGAAAATGCGGAACATTGTTCCACGCGGGACTTCGTTTCCGCGAAAAGCCATTCGAACGATTCGTTTGATGCTCGATTGCACGTCTGGCCATTACTTATTATTTCTACTTGCCGTTGCCGTTGACGTTGACGGTAATATAGTATTATTTGTTTCAGCCGGTTTTAGTGACATCAATAGAAATAATATTGTACGCGTTTACAAGTATTTAAAGAAGTAGAAACAATAAGTAACGAACCGTCGTTCGCAGGCGTGCTCGTGAATATTAAAAAATTGATTTCCCCGGGAACGGAATCTCGTGGAACAAAATTTTATATTACATTTTCCATTTACTCTGTTTATAGAGAATCGTCGCGTTGGCCGCTGGTATTACATTTTTCGAGACTCCCTGGATACACGGAGTGTCCTGTTTTAATCATACAGCGTGTACATCTGCAAACCTATTGCTTATTCAATGAAACGTTTAAGATGAAAGTTACTCCATTTTGAATACATTTTGTGGCCAGGACGATTTTCATCCGGATTATAGATACCCTTCGCTCCTTTTTATTTTTCATAAAATCATATTCTATTTTTAAACCAGACACGTGACTTTTGTTTCTTTCTTATATACCAATTTTATACATAACTGTAAGGTTCTTTCATCCGTAGAGAACGATATATTTGTTTAAAGTTTCCTGATGCTTCTAGCATCCAGTAACCGTTTAACCACTACACATTGATTAACATAATAAACACATGGACAGATGGAAAAAATATGTTTATGTATACATTAAAGTAGTGTTCACAGCAAATTAAAGGAAGAAAGATTATGTCTTATGTAAATAACACGTACATAGATAATGATCAATATCGTGGAACAAAGTAAATTTCATCTACAACATACGTTCGAATAATCAGCACTTTGAACGTTATTGCATGGAAAGATTAAAATGGGACACCTTTATCTGTACAGGATGTATCCAAACATGTGAGCATAACACGTTGAATTAGATACACGAAACAATGAACTCGTACGAATAATTATCCTATTTGATCCTGCTTTCGAGTTAGAGACATTGTTGTATTTTAATATTTTCTCGTTACAAAACTATATTAGATTCGATTCAATCTTCTGGTTGTTTTCTTGATATTACAAACGAAGAAGGCTGAAGATAAGAGAGACGAAATATACATGTTCCTCTGAGAAATTCACTGCCCGAAGATGGAAGAAAAATATTACGAAACTGTTTAAAATTCGTCAGCCACACGAGATGCTGACAGTAAACAGTCGAGTGGGATCAATTACGCAAGCTCAGTTTATAACAAGAATCGAGGCAAGGCTTAAAAGTAATTTCTGGCTGTGTGTCGCCATTACACAATTAGTCACTCGCTCTGTTATGACACGTATAATTTCTCTTAATATACATAATAAAGGCATTATAATAATTACTATTACAGTAATAATAATTCTTATTATCACAACGTATTTGCTGTGCAGATTAAGAGAAAGCGTACGATAGCAATAATTACAATTATTATTTAGTTTATGTAATTGACAGTAGAGTGTAGACGAAAAATTAAAAGGACATAAAAAATAAAAATGCAGTGAAAATGTTAAATACTAATAATAACTATTAATATTGAGATATAAGAATGCCTGTGATTGGGGAACATAGCCTAACGAGATAAGTATTCGTACATCCAACATTTCGTGTACCAAGATCGCCATTACGTTGTACCCACGCGTTTCGATGCAGCCTGTATACGTATAACATGTATAACATATGTTTAGACTGGTCACAGTGATTCGAAGGAAAATAGAATATAGAAGATAGAAGATGAAGAGACACACCTGGCAATGAGGCAGAGCTGGAGCTAGAATGTTTGTCGAACTCGTCCCCGGCGCCTGGTGTGCGCATCAGTCGGAATAACAAAGCAGTTGTACAGCAGGGTTTTCAGGAAATTTCAAACCGCGTTACGACACGTAGCAACGGTACGCAGCGCCGCGTCGCGTCGAAAACCGTCCTTTACACAGGCGTTTTTCTCGTACGCGAAACAGCGTAAAATTGGACCAAGACGGGCGAGTATATATCGTTTAATCAGGGCAACGCGTTTCAGTTGAACGAAAGGGGATGGTCGTACCGCTGCTACCGCGTAGCCCGCGGCATAAAACGTATGATTACATCTAATCGAGGCGCAGATACGCGACTCGAGAATGGCGCACCTAGGCAGCCAAGAGCGTCTACGAGAAACGACGCCCGATCGGTGGCTGTCTGTTGCTCCCTTCGACCGTGAGCAAAACCGATCGATCACCTAAAACGTAAGTATCTAAAAGACGAGCAGAAGAGAGCCGCGGTGTATGAGAAACGTTGGGGTTCTTTTTCTGGGGGGCCACGAACGGACGATTCGTACGACGAAGTAGAGAAGCAAAGGGGTGGGACGGACGAACATTCACGCATAGAGACGGGACAGAGAGGCGGTAAAGCGTCGCAGAAGAAATCTTTTCAACGAAACGAGCTAACGCTTCTAATGCGTCTAAGTGCGACGAAAGATCGAATCGAAAAAACAAATGCGCACGTCCGTCTCGACGGGACCGACTGGTTGCGATCGGGAGCAATCACTGTAACGACACAACTGATGTCTGATAACGAAGCACAAATAAAATTCTTTGTTCTCAATTTGTTTTTATGTAGAACCACACCCTTCTCGGTTGTACCGTCAATTCCGAGACACCCTGTATAGTATGTAAAGTTTGAAATATCATTTGAAAATTAACACAGGTTACCTTTCGATGGATATATACTACTAACGATAACAGAATCCAATATGTTCGCACGTTTATATCCTTTTGCAGGAAGGTAGAATACAGGTATCCGTTGGAGCGTGTAAAAAATTGGGTACAGACTCTCGATAACTTCATTTTGTTATATGCTGTAAATGCCAATCTCTGCCAATGACTAAGTAGTAGAATGGGCCAAATAGGTTTCTGTTATTTGTAGGAGAAAGTCACCAGCTCCCGGCACCAACCAAGTAAGTCGCCACGATTGGTGATGGAAATTGGTGACTTTCTCTTAGAAATGATAAGAACCCGTTTCGTCCATTCTAGGAGCAAATAGTTTACGTACAAACAGTCTCAGTTTATCCCATATAAGTACTGTCGTGAATCGTTTTACATTTAAATGAACACTTGAATCGAATCTCGGCGGTACGTTTATAGAAACTTCCTACAGAGTGCTCTTCTCGCGGCAGTCTACAACGAGCATTCGATACAGTCAGATCGATATCTAACGTCTAACCTAACCTCAAACGTATGCATTCGAGACGGTTGCATCGATATTTAACCTCAAATATATGCATTCGAGACAGTTAGATCGATGCTTAGCGTCTAACCTAACCTCAAATGTATGCATTCGAGACAGATCGATATTCAACGTCTAACCTAACCTCGAGTGTACGCATTCGAGTCGGTTAGATCGATATTTAACGGTCTAACCTACCTTCGAGTGTATCATATCATCAGTACGTATCGTGTCAGTTCTGTGACTAACGAGGAATAACAGGCCGTTCCAGGCTCGCGTTCTTCCCGCGTCGAGACGAACCGGAAGACGGAAACTCAACAGACTTGGAGAAGAAACGGGTGGCGAGGCGGTGGGTGGGGAGGTAGGGGTCGGAGGACGGCGGCAAAGTAAAACTGCGCGGCGGAAACCAAGGGGGCAGAGTTCCTTTCGCAGAGAAGAGAGAAACCGGAGACAGCGCGTCTAACTGTGGAAATATAGAGTATAGAGTGATAGGAATCGAGGCGAGAACGTACCTGGCCCTCTCGCGTACGGATCGCGAGTCGCGGGAACTTGCAAATAATCTCGCGGCGACGAGCTCGTGTGGGGCGCGTTGGTCAGTGCCTTCTGCACCAGTCCCGTCAGGTTGGCCAGCTGTCTCTCCATGTGCTCTACCCTTATCCTAAAGCAACGAACGGGAAGAACCAGTCGTTAATGGCGAACGTCGCGACATCTGTGCCGTTCACGCTCTACAACTAATTCGCAGCTAATTTATCTTCAAGACGAAGCAGGATGATGTTCCACAGGATGCACGATGCACTTGCTACGTTAACAATGACAACGCCAACGTTTGGAATTCGCGTGCAAAGGTCGGTTTCGCATAACTCGCGGCATCATGGTCTAAACCTACGTACGGCAGGACGTTGTACACAATAAGCGCTCGATATGCATTCACTTTACGATCGCTAATCGGCATGCTGCATTCCACCGATTTCTTATTTAAGGTTACTAGCGGCTCGAGTATAGCAAAACGAGAGGACTCCGACATCGTCATAGGCGTAATGGCGGCCTACGCTATGTTTTTATATGGTGGGATTTCAACGATGATCGTTTAGTAGTCGAGCTTTATTCATTAACAACGATTGAACAAGTTTTTGTTCATTATTTGTGAATAAAAATTTGCCAAAAAATAAGGAAATACACAATGCATTTCGACCTTTCTCTAAAAGGAAATTCATAATTCTGATTTCTAGAGAACAATGATAACCATTGCTTCGATTTTACGAGCTCGACTATTTCTCGCCCGTGCCCCGGGATATTTTTGCGTTTCTCTGTGCATGCTTCGACGCTCAACTATACTTCAGAGATGGGCAAAATTCTTACAAACGCGTTTCGAACAACGAATGAAAATTTCAATTATTGGATCCAAACATGACGGCACGGAACGTGTAAAGATTGAATCCGTGATGCAGGTTGGTTTTGTTCGTTATCTGTTATTCGAATAAAATTTTTCCCCATCTTTGCTATGCATGCATTGAACGAACGACTCGCGTTCCGGGGAGAGTTCGATTTTTCGATCGGTCGCGAACGAACGGGTCCGATGTATTCGCGTCGCGAGGCGAGAGCACGAGCTTCCCCCGGGTCAATGGAATCGACGGGAACGTCGATCGATGAACTCGAAACGCGAGATATTATCCGCACAGCCGCACGGAGTCGTGTCGATGCACGGACGAATATAAATAACCCAGATCCAAGGGAGCCTCGAAGAACGTAAACTGACCCGAGGGAAGCTGGCGCACGCTTTTCACTTTCCGTCGACATATTATACGAGGCGATCGTTTCTCTTTCGTGATCAAACGTTCGTTACTCGCGATGTGAATTCTCCACCGTATCGGTTCCATCCTTCTCGGAACTCCCCGCGAACGGTAGCCGTCGAATTCTATAAACGACTCATTCGCAAGCGCATTCGATCTATGGTCCTTTCAACTCACAGAAGGACCTTGCGTAAACGGAACCCCGTGACTGCGAGAAAATCTCATTTGGTCCTCGAAGGTTAAAAGATTCGTGGCTGTCTTTAACAAATCGTAAATGGAACCTTCAAAAGAAATTTACCATATTCGTTACGTTCTTAAACAATTCGTGTCGAACATTGCGAATTAATAATTCTCTAAAAAATGTAGCTATATTATATCTCGGTTCAAATTCGTATACAAAATGTTTCGACAATTTATTACGTGAAGCTATATTGTTTTTTTTCTGTAAAAAAATAGGCAATAACAAAAATAGCTCGATAATCAAAATATAATTGAACACCGTGCTGTTAAATTAATTTCAATCTTGTTTACCTTTCCACCGAAAACCGATAAAATTATACACTGTTACGTACCGTTATAAATGGTGACTTGAATCAATTTCTATCGTATTTGTACGTATTTGAGACGGTAGCCCTGACATTTCAGGCCTGTCGTAGTCACGTGGTTTTGTTTACATGCTATCCTGTGACTTGAACATCGGGCGGCGTTAATTCGTGACGTTTGAAGAGAAGATAACGCGCCAAACACATCCCCTTCTCTGTCACAAGCCTCTACTGTAGACGCGTGAGATGTTGACACATTGCCCACAAGCTGACAGGGCACAGGGAAAGGGGGAACCGTACACTCGCTGCGCTTGACCGAGTGGTTGCAACATAACACCGGCGTCCCTATTTAAACACATTGTCTTTATAGAAGTCTAACGAGGAAACGAAATAAATAACGAAAACCCAGGAAATAGCAAACGATTCTCCTTTCCTCTGTGTCGTTTCAACTCGTTGGTAGATAGTACAACTCACGCGTATATAGTACCGTATTTGCTTCGCCACTGACACACTAGATGGCGTTACTGCGCTATATAGGAGCGAAAGATCACCATGCCGCCGAAATATTTAATGCGCGATAAGTTGCATGAATCGCTATGAAATCGCTAGTCCAATTTGGCACAATTCAAATACATATTTAGCTTACTTTATGCGATCATTTACCATTTATAATTTTCTATAATTTCAAGAATTACAGGATTCGAACGTGTGTATAATAAATATTAATAGCCCAATGTAAGATCTGTTTGTTAACGAATTTTTATATTCGGCATGCAATTGCCCAAGGAGGTTAAATCTACCTAGCTAGTCTAGTCCAGATTAGGTTCGCTTCGTTCTATTAGATGTTTTACGGCACAATGTTCTTGCACATCTACGCTGCATAGTTTTAGTAAGATCATCCAGTATTCCGTGAGGGAAACCTCGGTATTGCCTTTCAAATTTTTTGATTAAATCTCTCCATTCCCCAATTTAAAATAAAGTCACTCTAACTTGTGACACATTATAGTCGAGCAAGGGATGAACACCCCTTTATTTAAAATCGAAACTGCCCTGAACTGCTTTGTAATTTCATTAAAAACGACTTCGTTGCAAACATGTGTAAACAATACCGAGGTTTGCTAGAACTTGCAAGGAGAGATCCCGAGGCCTGACGCTCATTTTTTGATCAGATTTCGCTCAATGATAGATAGTAAGCTACTTGATCGAATGGTACCCGGTTGTGGGCGTAGACGACTTATAGTTCTTGAGATATTTAACATACTACTAGTAACTCAAGCTAGTTGTGTTTCCTTAGAGGGTACGTTCAAATTCTTTGTCCCTTTAGAGGGGCCAGCTCAAAAATTACAAGTCGTCTACGCCCAAAACCGTGTTCTATTCGATTCTATAGCTTAATATCTATCATTGAACAAAACCCCATGAAAAAATGAGCTTCACTCGGGGATCTCTTCTTGTTAGAGGCTCGTCGAGGACGATGAGAGTTTGGCACGCTGCGTTTCTCGCGTACGACAGAAATTAAACGCCCCCCGGTGAACGCATTATAGCAGCCCGGATCGTTGGCGGAGCACTACGGTTGGTTGTCGCGGCTCTATCGAAGTGAATACAAGGTTTGCTCGGTACCGAGTAGCGTCGTAGCTCTGACCACCGGGTGGTAAAGGTGGCGCCCCTGGAGGAAACGGAGATCGCGGTGGACCGGACGGCGGACGGCCTGGTTTCACGCCGTATAGACTGTACGATTCCTCCAACAGCTCCGTATCGCTGCACCACCCACAACAGAGATACACGTATCCGCGATATCAGCCATCCACGGACACACGCGGCAGCGAGTCGAGCGCGAAAACGCGACAGTTTCGCCCGGTTGACGCTCTCACCGACGCGTTTCTTCGTTCTACGTTGTATAACGTTCGAGCGGCACGTTCCAGTGGCAACAAACAAAATGTCTGGACTGTATCCACGTTTTTAGCCTCGTCGTTCTCGTTTCTAACGCTGTTTTTTTGCCCCACGACACGTTGCGGCGCAAAGTTGCTAACGAGTTTGACGCAGGTGCGACCACGAGCCCAATGCGAATTTAATATACACTTACGCTCAAAAGTTTCAAGACACCATCTGTTTTTCGTGAAAGTCTGACGTAGGGACACCCGATGGATCGATGAGTTTATTTATTAGCGGGCAATATTTTAAGGGTCGTATTTTACCAAAACAAGACGCAAGGGTTAAGCGTACTGCGATTAAACGGTTTTAAGTTTTATCTATTAAACGAAACAAATGTGTCGATAATGATTGTTACTCTCTTGTAAGTTTTTAATTCTTCAAAATGTTTTAAATAAATCTTAAAGAGAATTAGAGATTGAAGTATTCGCTTAAGTAGAGATAATGTACATTAAAAATCGGCGGAATAATGATTTTGCGCACCTATGTCGTCAAACGCCACGGGGATGACTATTATAGGATATCAGATCATACTTTGCTAATTATTTCTTTACTTCGATTCAGAAATATATATTTTACTTCAAGCTATATTTCACTGATAGTAAACGCGTCAACATTTGTAAAAATATTTAATTACTCCTCAAATTTCAAAATAAAATCTAAACGAAACGGTTGATTCAAATAAAAGTATAAAATACAATTCTTTTACTTTTCGATCTCCTACTTTCACTTTCATGTTTTCAAACCGATTATCACGCTTCTACATCTACAGCAACAAGTATTAAACTAAACTGACAACCTGGACGCTCGAACGGTTAAACGTATTCTCGTTTTACTTAGACGCGACAAAGAATCAAGCAGATTAAGAAGCGTTGAACTGAATAAGACCTGTCTTCTTACTTTTTAAGTACAATTTCTTCAAATCTATCGTGCGTCACGTTAGAAGCAGCATCCTGTATTCGTGGGTTCAAGCCATTCGCGGTATAGTCGAAAGAATTCAATCGACGGAGCGTCAACATCGTCTCGCGATTGCAATTTAATCGAATTTCTGTGACCCGATTTTCTCGATAGAGCACTTCTCTCTTTCGTGGATAAGCCACGGGTCGTTGAATGGCCGTCGAAAGAGACTGTTCGCGAGGAAATTCGTCAAAGCGTGAAATCGTTGCCGGGAGAGAGAGAGAGACTCGCTCGCTGCGAATCGGTCGATTACCGTCGAATCTGGGTAGATTACGTGTTTATGTGGCGAACGCGCGCGCAAACGTGCGAACGAACGTGCTTATCGTGGAACACCGGTTACCTGGCCTCCTCGTCGATGACGGGCGTGACGGTTCCCGAGTACTGCGAGTAGTACGGGTCCTCGTAGCTGCTTCCGGCGCTGTACGGTCCAGGGGGGTATCTTCCGGTCCCGGAGCCAACGCCTCCGCTTCTTTCAGGGCTGCTCATGTAACCACTTTCCCCGTGCAATCGATCTGTAGAATCGCAAATGTTACTGCAATTTGCCACCGAGCTTCTATCTCTGCCTAAGATCGTCACTGAGAATCACAATCATCTTTCGTTTTGGATTCGAGTCTATCTAGAGTGGTGGCGTACGACAGGGGCGCGTAAAGTCCGCCTTGCGGGTCAATCGTAATAAGTTTACTTTAAAATATTAGGTCACCCCTTATTTTACTGTGTCCATTAACATATTTGACTTTAGATTACTGAATTTGAACATAATCGTTGCTGTCCAAAAGCGAAGTTCGACGAAAAGCTTAATGTTCCTATTTCCGCTACTGTAAAAACATTGTCTAATATGTGTTGAATTCGTCTGGACGTCCCTTACAATATAATAAGATAAAGTGATCTTAATTTTGCTATGAAAACAGTTTCCAAAAGTAAAAAATAAGTTCTGTAGCATTTTGTTTGGCCCAAGGGTGGACAGAGCGCGCGCCACTGGCGTACGACGACCAACCGACGCGGGCACGTTTGTCGCTTTTGTTAGAGCCGAAAAAAAGACAATAGGTATGTTTAGAGCGTGCTTTACGGGGTACCAAACAGTTCTACAAATTTTGCAGCGACGGCGGGAGCGGACACGATACGTCAGGGTTGACGGCGATGCTCTACTGCAGTGTTTTTCAAAATGGCGGGCGCGTAAGAAAGTTTCAAACGTTTCTTTCTACTAATATTTTAATCGCGGATATATTTTTCTCGTATCGATTGTAAACTTTCCACTCGTATCGGGCGCGTAAACATTTTTTCTTTAGGGGAGGGGCGCCTTCCAAGGAGTTTGAAAACCACTGCTCTACTGTAATTACTGAATGCCACATGTGGGAGGTTACGTGTACATCGCAAGATACTTAATGTCTTCGAATTGTCTTAATGTCGCGACGGCCCGTTCGATCGAATATTTGGCCCGACGAATACGCGACTATCGCCTCGATGGAACGGTTCGATCGTTCAACCCATTCGCAACGGACGAGGCGCTGTGCTGTTAAAAAATGGCGGCCATATTGGGAATCCAAAATGCTTTTATTTCTGTAGTAACCCACGAGTGTCATGATCGAACATATTAAATTTAAAGCGTGGCCAATGTTACGAGTTAGAAAGTATAACCACAAACATTTTGATTATTTACACAAGGGTTAATAAAGAATTCGATAAGGTTGATCTAATGCAACATCCTCATCTACGATTCCAGACAAGTTACACCTCGTCGAGATCTCAATGATACTTGATATTTGACTTGTAGCGATATCGCAAGAAATATATCGAGAAATTCATCCTACTGATACCAGCTGCTTATATTAATACCTCTTTGATACTCGAACGCAATATTTGAGAATTGATAATATCGTCAATGAGATTCTACGGGTGTGTTTGCTTTTCCCATTCGTGGCGTTGTTCGAGTGCCACGAGGCTCAACGTGCGCGTAACGATTGTTGCGAATGGATTTGAACAAGTATCTCTCGCGAATTAATCTCAAACGCCAGTTAATATCAGAGTCTCGAAATTGATCCGAATGCCTCGTCGGCGATCCCCTATCTCTTTTCTTTGGCTCAGCCTTCGAACGAGTTACCAGTGTTCGCAGAACTTTGCTCTACTCTCCGTCCTAAGTGGTTGTAAGAAACAGAGAAACATAGGATCATCCGTTCGAAGTCTCCTCGAGCTCGAGCGGGAACTTTCAAGGGTCTCCGAAAGATGCGAGAAGGGTTAGACTGGAAACATACTATCGACTTCCCGTTGCACGACAATCTACCAGGGATGGCAAAAAACGCATGGACAACCAAATTATTATCATTTTTTATATCCAATGGGAACTGATAACTTGGAAATAAAGACGTAGTCGTCAGACGATCTAAACAAATACACCAGTTGAAGTTAATTTAGGTAATCACGTATCAGACACGTTAAAAGTACATTTAAAAATGGATAAAACAGGCATTCTCAAACGGTGTAAAAATTTGCTTCGCTAAGAATACACTAAATTCATTAAACAGTAGCTTCGAAAAGGTCATTAATAATTTTGTCACTTATTGTAGGATCCATGCTTTTTCTCGTGCTACGGAAAATAGAGATCGTGTCCCTAGCCTCGTGCTGAAAGCCCACTCGAGAGTTCTGCTCTCAAACAGTGCTTATCAAGAGCAAAATTTGCTTCAACTCGAGTGGGGTAAATTTTATTCGTGAATAAAGAATCAAAATTTTATATTCGCAAACAAGCTTTTTCAAAATTCTCATTCGTCATTCGCGAATAAATTTGGGCAACTCTGAGCGTAGCACGGAGACTCTTCTGCTCGCTGGCACGAAAGAGCTCCTCTCTTTAACGACTCTCGAGAGTGAAACTTTCCAGTGGACACCAGGCGTTTAGAGTCGCGATTAGAGTCGAAAAATCGGGGAGACGGTGTACCGAATGAGCTTTCCCGAGGGATGTGTAAGGATTCTACTGACCTGCTATACTATAGAGGGAGACCGAGCTGTCTCTAGAGAAGCGAGCCGAGCCCCCGAGGCTTCCAAGGGGACTCTTACTGCACTGGTAGCTGCGAAGCGGCTTGGCCGGCGGCACCCCGCCACCACCTATCCAACCATCCGGAAAAACCAAACAAAAACCAATGTACCCAGCTGTTCCGGTGCACGTCGCGTTTCTCCCCCAGTTCGTTCCTTGCTAATTCGCTTGTTAAAAGTGCACCAGCGATCCATACAGACATGGCCAAATTAACACGCTCACCATTGGTCTCTATATTCGGACTATAGCGGATCTAGCTTAAAAATCCCTCTTTTTACCTATTTTTTTAACGATAACAATTGGAAATCTTAAAAAGCTTTGGCATTCTAATACTAGTGGGTTCACTGAATTTTTTTCAATGGGAAGTACCCGATCCTTAAAAAAGCCTTAAAAGCCTTCAAAGTATGCCCTACGAGAATTATCTTCAGCTTTTCCCGCCATTTCGCAATTATACATCGAAGCGCCGAGTGCTCGTTTGGAACGAGGTAACAGACAGAAGTTTGCTGGAAATGAATCTAATCAAACCCATTACTTCTGTGGCGCTGCTTCTGCTACGTGGAGGAAGTGAGAAAGATCTTAGGAAGGTAGAGAAAGAGGGGAGCTAGCGGGTTTAATAATTAATAAGGCAATCCTAGTCCTGGAACGGAAGGGTAAGTCGAACGCTTGCGAGAGAGTCAAGAGCGTAGCCCTCTGGTGGCGCCACACTTCTCATAAAGCGTTGTTTCAAATCGAAGCAATCGAAGACAAATACCGTAGCCAACAGAAAAGGAGTCCTCCACCAAGAAGCCACAAAGCACTATCCATAATTATCAAAATACTGAATATTATTAATTTTCTTCGATTTCCCCGGGTGAACGTATCAATTTGGCCACGTCTGTAGTTCTTCATCGAGCGCGTTCGCAGAGGTGAGAGGTAATAGAACAAACCCCGACGGCGAAAGTCACAACAATTGTAGGTCGCCGATTCAAGGTGAACGAAACTGCACCCGTCGACTCGAGAGCTGTATGCACTCTTCCGTCGCGTTCTAGCAAACACACGAGCACGGACCGTCGCCGATTTTCGACTTGATCGCATTCGAAAAACAGAACGACCCTCCGCGATCGCCGATCGAACGGATGTGGCGTTAAGAGGAGGATCGTATGGCCCGATGATGCATTAAGGAGGGCAAGAAGAGCTTGCATTCGCGTAGCCCTTGAAAGCTTTGGATTGTTTAGTTGCATCAAGCGTTCGAACGTGTACGACTGCGTCGCTTCCGGGTCAGGCATGCCCAACACGTTCTCCGCACTATTATTTTGTTGTTCGTTAAATGTTGAGGAGAGTTGTAAAAATTAAGTAATACCACTGTATAGAACCACTGTTAATATGCAATTATACAGGATGCATAAAATCTACGATATATTTCCTTTATATGTGCAAAATATATGTGATTGGAGCGCCTCATATTTTTGTCCAGTACTGTATTTACTATTAACAGAAGTAAAAAGTTCGTAAGATTGCAAAGTTAATGTCAACAAAAACTGAATACTGGTATACAGGGTGACCACCTCGGGGGGAAAAGTAAAAATTTCAAATCGTTCTAAAAAAAATATTTTCGACTGTGGGGGTCGATTACAATCATTTTTGGTGAATAGACATACCCTCGAAATCCTAACCATTTTCGAGAAAAAAATTCCTAACCGAAAATATAATATATTAAAATTTTTTCCCCGAGGTGACGTAACATCCTGTACGTGTAATATTCCAGTGTTAAAGATCTAGCAACCTGCAGTTTCTACGAGACCGCCATATTTGTTTCCACTGCTACAGTTGATCTCCAATCGTTATTTCTTGCTATGACGTAATTGCCCTGTAGTTTTGTAAGTCACCGTACTGGCAGAGAGTCCAGTTGGGAATGCCTGCTTTGGGATTCGACAATGTTCGCAGGAATCGTGACTCGTTCGATCGAAGGAAAAGAACGATACGGCAAGCGAGGGTTGGAGGTTAATCGAGGAGAAGCGTGTGTGCAGCAGGTCAGGACGATCAGCCTTTCGATACCGTTTCGACGAAACAGTTAGCGTGCGAGATCGCAGGTAGCAAAGAAAGGGTCGTCGCGATGCTAGAATTCGGTACGTTTTTGCGATCGCCTGAACAGCGACGCGTGTAGACAACATTCGAAGGGTTTACTGGACAAATAACGATTCTCGTCGATGTGTCTCGGGGTTCGAATCTACGGGGGACAGCGTGTGTGTGTGGGGCGAGCATGGACAAGCATTGGGCGTGGATGACGTAAAGGTAGCAACCGAATCTTTGAATTTGCTAAATTCCAAATTGCTCGACTTTCGTAATCCCGTTTCGCGTCTACTGCCCTGGCCCTCGTTCAAGCGAACGTCGAGTGTTCGTGACTTTTCGTGTACCTGGAGTAGCGAGAGGCTTGGGCTGCGTGGGAGTTGCGGTTGGCCCGCCGACCACGGACGACGCTGCTGGACTGTACGCCCTCATCAACTGGCCCCCTCGTGGCAGAGTGCTGCTGCCCCCGACGTAGTAGCCGCTGCTTCCGGACGTCGAGTTCTTCGCCGTCTGAATCAGAAAACATATCGAATCGTTATTCAAAATGACACAGCTCAAATATTTTCAACCGTATACGTTGTTCCCCTTAGAGGTACGCTTCTCGCGTTCACCGCCAGAGGGCTACGCTCAACACTTTTCTCACAAGTGCTCCACCTATTCCTATGCATACACTCCTCGATCGATCATTCAACGCTGTGGCACCACAGTACAATTTTGACAAGAGATAATGACTCATCGATGTATAAATGAAAAGAGAACGTCGGTTTTCTTGGATGTTTGGACAAAAACTTAAGAAGAAAACGGGAATTGAATCTCTGTCGAATTATATGCAACTGATGCAAGAATGCTTGGTAGAAAGTGAGAGGAAAAACACTTCGACCCGAAAGAACAGTTTCTTTGTTGTTAGCAAGAAATTTCTACGAGATATTGAAATGTGAGTAAACAACGCCAGCGTCTAGATAAATTAAGAAATTAGTTACAGTCATTACAGGACACGAACGATACTAATAATACTTTAAGATATCATCGATAAACGCGGAACTGTTGAATCTACAGTGTGACGAATGGTGCTATAAAAGCAGCTCTGAAAAAGGTTAGTTTTCACGCGGTATTATAAAGAAGAAGAAGAATTAGTCCCGGTGTTTAGAAGAATGTGGTGTTACCGGGAAGAAGAAAGAAACAGTTCCTGATTAAGGGGAATGTGACACTATGATTAAATAGAACATAGTTGAGTAATTTTGTGTTACGAAATCTGACCCAGTACTCCGTAAGGTCTTGTTCCCTCTCTAGAATCCTATGTATGTACGTAATTAGCAAGTAGGATATGGTCAGTGTCGAGTAATGTTTGCAGTACCAGGTCTTACGATCGCTGACCAAAACGTCTGACCCAATACGAGTTTCAGTATTCAATTCCTTTCAAGATTGATCTAATTGCCTCTAATGCTACTAACGATACTTGGTGCTCTTCCTTCTCAAGCAATCGACAGATTCTCACTAATTATGGTCCCAAATTGCAAATAGTCAGCTAAATAAATGCAGTTATTTGTAATGTATACATGGATAAAATTTTATTCGTTGTCGAATAATACACGACGAATAAAATCCACTTATATTGGAATTATTTGTGCAACACATAAGCTTCTTTAGGCGAAACATTTTATTTTACAATTAAAATTAAAATGTTTACAAGTAACACATTTCTGTGACTTTTGTCTTTCGGATTACTTCGAAATGATACTTTGAATTCGTATTTTTTCAATTCTTTTATAACGCTGAAAGAGAAGTTGTATAGTATTCGATGCGTTGAAGAGAAAATTAGTGCCTTCGCGCTATCAAACCGTTAAAAACGTCTTGTTGCGTTTCTCCAGTTTCTCCTGTCGTTTAATAATTATTTCGAATCCTACACGCATTAACTCGTCGTTCGTGTCTGGCAAAAATATACGAATAATAACGCGTGTGCACGAATCCAGACAAGTGAAAACGCACCGAGAAAGGTGAGGATCGCAGCACCGTGTCGTTTCGACGGATGGCAACGAAAACGAAACACATCGAGGCGTAGTATTTTAATTTTTATCATCGCGTCTCGTCGAAATTTTACGGAAGCTATGAAGTCACCGGCGAACCGAGCCTACGGATTTTACGGTATTTTTACGACTTATAAACCAGCCACCATCGTCTCGCGCTGACGCAAGGTTCGCTTTAAGAATCAGAAATTACATAAAAGATTTACTTAATTTGTCAGCGGTGCGCATCGCTTGCAACGTCCACTTTCGTAAACGAATAAATATTTGTAGTGAAAAACACGCGTTTAGTCTCCCCTCCAAAAATATAAGTGTCGTGTACAAAATCGCTCAAATATTTTCGGTGCTTATTATTTGGGGTTCATTAATTTAAAAAAAAAAAATTCCATCGAAATAGTCCTGGATTTTGTATCCTATTACGCAAAGTCGAAAGTGGATTCTCGTCGTAAATGATAGTAATTCTTTTTATTTTTGATGTTCTGTATTATCTAACGCGCGTATTCCCCACCGAAATTACATAATTGCGTTCGTGATTCTACTTTTGCTCTTTTTTTTTCGAGAAAATAAAATGATCGAATGCTTAGAGTCGCGGAAGCAATTCTAATGATAAACACCTTCGCTTATCGACAGAACTTTGGAAGCAAAACAACAATTTTGCAATTTAATTGCCGCAAGGAGTTAATTCATTTTACTGTGCAATGTAAATTAAAGACGAGTTTCAGTTAGATAACAGTGGTAAAAGTATAATTGTAGCCGCCTATTGTGTAAAATCGGTCTTTATTTACGTAAACCAGCACGAAACCCATACATTAAAAAACAAAAAAAAATACGAATAGCGTTTGTTCAAGAATATATCGACTAGGTGGTTTAACAATGGGAAAATGCGTTATGTGAATTTGGAGGATTATTTTTCAATGAGTGTAAAATCCCTAGTACGAATTAAAGACACCATACATAATAAATTGTTGTTACGAGATCATGAAAGAAAACTATTACTTTCAGAAAATTCTAAAGCAATACAAAATTACAGAAAAGAAGAGATTATTGAAACGTGTAAATCAAGTTGATCGCTACTCATTTTATGTAAAGGATTAGATCGATATTTCCGTCATTTAGCAACCGTTAGACGCTGTTGTAGTCTGATGCGAAACGATTAGGCGAATGGGTGAAGTTTGATACTGTTTACCTTCTGTAAAATTATAAATGGTACGATGAAAAATAGCGACGTTAAATCTCGAGCACTAAATATCCAATTTGTTAATCTACCATGATCAATTCATCGATTTAGGAACGTAGTGCTTAGCTACCTCTTCGCTGTTATTAGCCCATAATGAGGCGGAACGCTATTATGTTAGACGATAATAACAGACTACGACAGGGTTCAAGAAGCCGGAAATTTCGAGCACTTTGAACAAAGTGAGTCAATTATCAAAAAAATTTGATTAGACGTCATCCATTCATGAGTGACAAAACTTTTCACCATGAAAATAAATTCGAATACGTGAATCTTACCGAGGTTACAAAAACAGCTAAGATAAATTTCACGTTATGTAATTTAGGAATCGTCTAAAATTAAAATTTCGGTCCCGTAAAAGATTTTACGATTTCGATTTGGCAGTGGACGTGTTATGGGCGTGCTTTCATAAAACAGAAACTCGATTGTGAGAAAAATTCGCTATACAGCAAATTTTCAGCATGTACAATGAGTTCAGGACGGTTTGGAATGGTTTTTTACAAAAATGGACTTTCTTAACGAAAGGCTAAGATATCGAAAGGTTATTGCATAAGCGATCGTGTGCGTGGTTATTGATAACAGACTCGCAGAATGCGTCGAGTCCACCGCAATTCCTTCCGTTGTGTCGGAGTTTCCGGGAATCTGGCGTGCAGTGACATGGAAATCGAGAAAATTACAGGTTGGAGTTAAACGACCGCGCTTTGCCAAGCGACATTCGACGCAAGGTTCTCCGCCTCCTTTTCCTCCTCAACCCTTCCATCGGCGATTCGGTTGTGCCCACTCGTAACGGGGCCCGAACTCGGCTTCGCTCCCGCCACGGGACTTACTCAGTGTTTACTCGCGCGAGCGGTTCGCCACACCGGTACCATTTCTCCTCGTGGGACTCGTTTAAACCGAAACACCGGAATGTCCATCGACTAACGATCGGGGGTGAATAATGGCCCATTCATCGAGAGACAGCTGACAAACATAGGGAAAGGGCGCGCGCGAACCTGACACAGAAGAAGAAATACGATCGCGTCGGTGAGTAAGTTAACGCACTGTGAAAAGTGGTTTTTATTCCTTGAAAACCGACGAAAGACACGTAATCAAAAAGAACAGCAATCAATCAATTTTTTGTAATTTTACAAGCATAATTTTATAAGCATTTCTTAACTAAAGGTGCAGATTTCAATGAGAACGATAGACGTCTCTTCTTTTTTTATAATTCGTTATAATCTCTGTATTTTTTTCGTAGTATTCAAGAATCTTTTCATGCACTCTATCAGCCAAGGAGCTATTCCATTTATTATCATGGTAGAACATTGACAATTTTCAGACAAGTACAGTACGATTCGTAAACCATAAAAATGCGATAATCGGTTAATTAAAAGTTAATTTACCCATAGCTTTACTCGAGTGAAAAAAAACGATTATCGGATGCCTGGGAAAACTGATACCCCGAAAATTAATGCTCGCGAAAGTTTTCAGTTCGCATATACCCAGCAAACCAATCGATGTTTAGCGACGTGTAATTTGGATGAAGTATTCGAGAAATATCTTTTATTTATTATTTTTCGATCGACTGTCTTTCATCCATTTTCAACGAGCTGATGTAGTTACTATAGAAATTCACGACTAAACAGGAGGATCAGAAAACGAAGTCGAGGCAAAAGTGGAGGGGAAGGGATGACCAAATCGAGATGGAGATGATTAGTCATCGATGCAGTTTCTTCGTTCCTCTAAGTTTGATTCTCATCGGTTTGGCGATATTCCCGTGTCGGGGATCCTCGACTTTGACGGACCAGGATCGGTACAAGCAACGCGGAACGCCCATGCACAAGGTCCAGCTCACTCAGAAGGGATACATACAGGTGAGATCGTAGCGCTACAAGGCGAAGAAAGCTTAGAAAGCCGGTTGTTGCTTTGCTGCGCGCGAAATCGACAAAACGCGCACGCGATTCGAACGCTCCAAATATATCTGAACGATCTAGTTTTCTGAACTGCTACTTCTAACTAGTTGGAAACTTATTTTATTAGTTATCTTTACCCATCTGTAGTTAACACACTCAATAAAACAGTGTATACGAATGAGCAATCTTTTAGAGAAGTTCCAATAAGACAAAAATCTAGAATTCGAAATTTTCGTTTCAAGGGTGTATCAAGCCTCGTTTGAAAACGACCCTTCAAATTAGTGGTAGAATTCTATCAAAATTGTTTTTTAGTCTTTAATGTTGTCCACGAGTCCTTATTCATTTTTTCGATTTTAAACCCTT